TGACGTTCCAAATTATTAATTTGTTTAAATGTGACAAATGATGTAATTTTTGTAAAAAATAATTATAAAATATAATATAAATATCTCTATATTTAAATAACAACACTAATATTTTTTTCATGTTATTTTATAAATTAATAGCAAATAATTTAAAAAAATGAATATGAAACATAAAAATCACGTCACTATAACTTTTAAAAAGATTTCATATTGAATAAAAATTAAACGTAATAAGAACCTAAAATTTTCTTACATCTCAACCATCTTATAACTTAATTTTCTTAAGGTTGCTATTGGCTCCCATTCGCCACGTTGGCATGAGATCCCACGATAGAGTTGACTGCTCTTCATCCCATCAGTGTATCTGTCGTGTGGCGTTGAGGAACTCTTTCACCATTGTGTAATCATCATCTTCCAAAAAACTCTATTTTTTGCCCTCCTTGACTCCTTCTCCAATGCCTTTCTTCTCTATTGGAAACTCACCATGCAGAGCCCTCGTACGGATTCCTTTCATGTTTCTCCTTCGTACCCTATTCTTCTCGCGATGAGACAGGCCTCATAAATGACATCGAAAAGTTTTCTCCCATGGTGAACGAAAATTTTGAGGAACCAGTACGATCCTTTTTTAAGCTGACAACGGAATGTGAGGGGATCACATCGCCATTGAGGGAATTGACCTATTCTCTTAAATCAAGAACAAGTTTTCTGGTTTCCGATTGGATCAACAATTCGGGCAGTTCTACGTTAGCTAGTTGCAATTCCGATTCTTACTCTAGCTGGACCGGTACCAGGCTCGATTCCTGATAGTATAGGTTTGATGAGTCAGTTTGATTCGATTTTCAAAATAATGGTTGAATTTGTTTCTTTAATTTTTTAGTTGTAGTGTTCCATGGCTTGCTGCAAGCCTCCTTTAAACCGCTTATCAGATCATGATGACTAGCAACTTGTCCACCCGGAAGTACCGCTTAGTTTATGCCATCACCTGCATTTTGACAACTAGATTCGACATCTCATCAAAGGTCGCAGTCACCACTGCTAGTTCGCCTTCCTCTGGTTGCTTCAGAGACTTCGTAGATGTTGAAGTTAGAGTTGTTCTGTAGCTGACATTGCCTTGCTCAGGCGATGGGCATCTTCAACGTGGATCTGTACAAGTGACAAACGATTATACTCTGTAATGAATGATTAAACAGATCGATACATGCTATGTTACATTTGAATGATGGATCATTATTGGATTGTTTCATCCAAGACTCTTCTTTCAGTGCCTGCTCTACAAGATCTCTTACTGAGGATCACTTGGGTGCATCATGGGGTGGAGTCACTGATCCACTGACAAATCTGCAGAGCAACTTCAAAGATCATTTGAACGTTACTGATGAAATCACGACCTATCAACTTTACTAACCTTTGTAGCATTAGGGGATCATGTCCTTACCACCAAATTTGAGCTCTGAAACCATTATGAGGTTCGACCCCTTACACTCGTTCAACAGATCAGGCATATGAGTGGCCTTGGGATTGTTCAGATCAAACATTAATTGGTTCCATCGATAGAGTTTTTTATTAGGGCATCTTTATAGAAATGTCTGGGGTGATCTCTTTCCTGTGCCACTCAGGATACGGTCCTAGGCAACATCTTCTACGAGACGACATGAAGAAGCTCCCTCAGCCACCTTTTGACTTTCAACCATTTTGGCAGTCTTCTTTAGATCTCGATTTTTCTTGGAGCAATCCTCATTTCTTTTTTTTTTTCGCTGCAAAATCGTTATAAGTATTTCCTCTGGGATTTTTAATCTCTTCATCGAGATATTATCCATCAAAATAGATAAAAGGAAAAGAATGATCACGTCAAAAAACAAGTGGGAAGGAAGAATTTCCTTAAAGACGAGATTGAAATGATAAATTCATTTCATACCTCTATGATACCTTTATAACTAAGAGTAAGTTAACATTTGAAAAGAGTTAATGAATATTGTAATTACTACCATCTTTAATGACTTATGTTATATTTTCTTTGATAGCATAATGATGCCCCAACAGACATTCAATATACGTACGTGGATGTTATTTCAAATCACGTGATGATTATTCTGTGACAGAAAATAAATTACAATAAACTTACAACTTGGTAATACCACCAGAGTAGGGAAGTCTTGAATTTTTTTTTAATTATTGTTTATTCATCATAAAATAGAACTTTACCATCAGTTATGAATCATGTTCAATTTCATTCCATTTTGCCTGAAGTGCATGCCCTTCTTAAAACAACTTGGTAGTTTAAGACGACCGGTCTCCCAGCTCAGACATATAAGATTCTGAGGTCTTAATTGTTGGAATCAATAAATTCAAACATCTCTTCCTCGCGGGACAGTTGGGAGCCCGAGGTGAGTAATAGTCCGCACTTACTTGGAAGTTTAAGCGTTACTTCCAGACGAATGATATTCTGAATTCAACATTAAGTTAAAGAGACTACTTCTTGTAGGTGTAGCTAATGCACTCCAAGTCAAAAGGAAGTTTAATCTCGAACAAATTTATTTCACTCTTTATCGTTTTCGGGCTTAGTTGTATTCATAGCGTGGATAGAGCTGGCCAACGATCATGTGACAACAGATTCTGTATTCTCTTATTTTTCTCGCAGTATTCTGATAAAGAGTTAAGAGAATCAAAGAACTAAATGTATACCAATAAATGACTTTCATGGGTATATGCATATGTTGGCAGTTCTCGTGGGCCTAGAAAGCCCATCTTCTCCAAAACACAATCACCACATGCTATATGCCGAGGTGCTTGTCACCTTCTAATTTGCCAGCTGTTGGAGTCACCTATCGATCTCTTAGCAAGCATCCGTCAGGATTGACCAATCGTAGAATTAAAGATCATCATTAAAAAATGAACATATGTCCATGTTCATTTATGGGCCGTCTGACATCCTCATCACCATCACTCAATTGGAGCATTGTGGATAGACTTTGTACTGTTTTGTCTGTAATTTTATATTTTCTTCCTTTTTTGTATGGTCCCTCGAGGGTAGGGATCCATCTTTTAGTTATATACATAGATGAACTCTGTCGCCTTCAGGGAGGAGACAAACAAACCATCGAAAATATATCTCGATATGTTCCTCTCGGTAGATACCAGGAGTTAGGGCTTGGAGAGCTCAAATCCATCCTCCTTAACCCCCTTCCTTTACAAGTTTTATACAGTTTGTGTGAGCCTACAAATGATATCGTGCCTGATGTACGGAGATGCCCCCAAGACAAAAAAAAAAAAAAAAAAAAAAAAAAAAAAAAAAGAAAAACATGAAGGGAAGGCAATGTGAATCATGTGTCCAAAATCTCTTTTAGTTCAAAATCTTAATTCTCAATACCTGGGGAAATTCCCGCATTCTTCCAAAAGTGGAAGGGTGGGGTGAATAGTTGCACTCTCCCTTAATTTAAGCTGTAGATGTTGATCGATCATTCTGAGCTTGTACTTCAAAATTTCAGACAATGGCTTTGCAAGAAATATCTATTATCTGAAGATTTCTAGGCGTGCATATGAGCTTCCTAAAACCTAGCTTCTTTCAAATTAAATGAACCTCAATCATTATATGTTTTATCACGTTGTGATGAGCAAAATTCTTTGCAATACTTATGACAGATTTGTTATAATAAATTATCTTCGCAAGTTTTCTAGTTGACATTCTTACTTCCCTATACTCTGCAACATACTTTTCTACATATTTCATGATACGTAACTTTAAGTTTAGCTTTTGAATTGCTGCTGACTACTAATGGTGACCGTTCTTTAATCAACAATCAACCATGTTCTCCCACACATAAGTACACTACCTTGGAGTTAATTTTTGGCCTATTGTCGAGCCACCTCAATCAACATCAGTAATTATTTAAATGTTCTTTGTTTGACGTGTTCATGTATTATGGTCCCCGTATATTATTCTTTTCTAGTTAATGCAAAATTTGATATGCAACCCCAAAATTTTTCTCTGCGGCATTTTTCATGAGCGATTCATCATACTTGTGGAGAAGCTGATATCTGCGCACAAGTGGGAAAGTTAAATGAGTTCTCAAATAATCTTTAAAACCCACACTTGTAGCCCTTTCCATTCTCATTCTTTGTCATTGGATTCATGGGAATGCGAGCCAACCAGGCATCCCTTTCTCTTTTACTGGTTGTTTGGTTTGTTGAAAAAGCATGTATTGTAATGGTAATATATTTTTATTTGTAATAGAATTATTAGATTTCTTAAGTTGTATTTTTAATCTGCTGCTTTAATTTCCTTTAGAAATCAATCATCCAACTAGGTTGCTTAGCGAGTTTCTCGTTTGATGTCTAGAATTTGTTAATCTGTTAAGACTGGTTGCAAAGGCTTGCTGACTGGAGACAATTCTTTGTAAAAACAGAACTGTAGATCACATGTGCATGAGCATTTAATTTGATGATATATGCTGCAATAAGAGTGACTTCATCTCAAAAACAATTTGGAGCGTTAGAAGTTGACACAAGGAATTTGATCACTTCCAACCATTATTGGTTTTTTTTTTGTTGTTGAGCAATTTCATTTAAGATTTATTTTTCCTTTTTTGTTATTTATTTAGCTATCAGGTATTTTTACAACCACTTTGTGTATTTTATTGATGTGATCAGATTTCATCAAGATATGAATTAATTGTTCTTTTTGAATTTCTTATTTAAAAATGCCTGTGTTAGCTAAAGGAACAGCCCCTAATTTGTAAAGAGAGATGCTTCCCTCCCTCAAAAAGCAAATGCTCTCATAAATTAAAATTCTGCTGTGGACCTAGGCAAAAGCATATGGATGTGTCTAACTCTTGTTTGGGTCACATCAGCTTTGTGGAATATCAAAATTTTATGTGAATTTCTTTGGGGAAGTGAAGCATAAACCCTCGCAGAAAGCCAAAAAAAAGGGGGGGATTTTGTTTTGGTTTATGGTGCTATGTGAGGGTTACTAATGCAGTAGTTGATTCCCAACATTTTGACAGGCGCTCAGGGCAGAGATCAAGGGTTCGTAAGCTTCAATACATTTCCGATCTCCAGAAAACCGTTGAGGCTCTTGAGGTAGCCTTGCAAATAAACTTTTTCTTTTATTGTTTATAATTAATTACTTGTACACCAAAAATAACACTTTTCTTTTTTTTTTTTTCACCATGTAGACCATGGGAGCAGAATTAGCAACCCAGGTAGCTACCCTCTTTCAGCAACGAATTGCACTTTCTCTAGAAAACAAATATATAAGGCAACAGATCTCCATCCTTCTGCATGAGAAAATCATCAAGGATGGTCAGTACAAGCCCTTTTCCCTTTTCAGAAATATAAAGTTGATCCGAGTCACTTCATGCATTTAAATGCTCTTCTTTCATGATCAGGCGAACATCGATGCCTAAAGAACGAGGCCGAGAAACTGAAGATGATTTCCGGGCGACATCGGAGGAGCAAAAGCATTTCTTCCCCTTACTTGGAACCAGGCCAGCACGAGAACGTTCATTCAGGAACAAGTTGGCAGTCTTTGGATTTCAGAAAGCTCAGCCTTGGTGAGAGTTCAGTTCCCTTCAACCATGGTTTGGGACATTAGTGTTACAGTCAAAACTAGGTTTTATAGACTAGAAGCATTCTTTGGGCTGCATATTTTATGCCCCACAAAAGCTCAGCTCATGCTTAAGAGTTGCAACTCTTTTATCTCATTTTGTCTAAGCATTTATTTGAGCTATGAGAAATGTTAGTTTACATTATTCTGGAGTGGGGGACTCCAGAATATCCGTAGGACCAGTGCTGACATGTTTCAAACCTTTATGATTTCCATATCATGTCATTAAGGCAATTAGTCTGTTATTTTGATAGTAAACGAGAATTTCTATTTCTATTTCTATTTGGTACCAGTGCCCTAAATGATAATATATATATATATATATATATATATATATATATAGTGTGTGTGTGTGCGCGCGCGCGCATGCGCTGCAAGCCTTGGCTTTTTGGTGGCGGTGTCACTGTAAGTCCTCTCAGGTCAAGGGTTCGATCTCACCATAACGCGAGGGCTCTAGAATTTTAAGCATATGGCGCTGGGTCTCATCGTGGGGCCAAAAAAGCCAAAAAATGGAGAAATCAATATTTGAGTCTCTGCTAAATATCAATTTACTTTTAATAATACGTGTAATAAAAAATAATAAAATAATAAAATAAAAAATAAAAAATAAATATAATAATAATAATAATAAATTTTTTTTCATCCTTCATTTTAATTAATTTTGTATTTGATATAGCCCTATTTAAAAAGCACATGTACCATTGTATGTATATGCACCCAATTTGATTTTTTGTGCTTGACTAGATATAACTTGACAATGTGTTTGTAAACTTATTTGGACCGATGTGATCTTGGAGCCTCATGAAACACTTTTTTGAGGATCATTTTTGCGTTATAAATACTTGTCTCATTTTATTTCATTTGGCTTTATAATATTACTTCGATACGAAATATATTATGGCAATTATTATGATCTCAGAAAATTCCTAACGGGCATTTTTCATGTCATCGATTAGTCCCACATCTCTTATGTTCATTGCCAGCAGATACATCCTCTATACAACTAAAAATTTATCCTTTATTATAATAATAAATATTATTCTCATTATTATATTCAATATTTACAGATTATTATTATTTTGGGTTATTAAAGCAAAATTCTGGTGAATATATGACGTCATCATGGATTCGACACAAATTGTTTTATAATTTATAAGTAATGGCCACTGAATGCCACTGCATTAGGGTTATCTCAACTTCATCTTTTTCTAAAGCGTAGGAGCCACATCTTTGAGGGCCCTAAAATACATGGTGCATTGCAGGAATACTTGTGTTCCCTAATTGGCTTGCTGGCTCCAAATGAGAGATTTGTGCTTAGATGCTCTGCTTTTCAAGGAATTCTAGAGTGCATGTTTGCATATCATATAGAAGATGGCATTCCTTTAAATTTTGATCCCCATCTTTTGCCCTAAAACTACAAAAGCATAGCTAATGGTACATCCAAGCGCTAAATGGTATCCAATGGTAAATCCTAAAATGTATTAAGGGTTACATCAAGTAGTTGCCCACTAACATGATTATTATTATAATGCATTGATTTTATTCATCGTGTGGACATTCCATTAATATTCATTATTAATGCAAAAATTGATCAGGACCATGTCACTAATTATCTTATCTAATCCTATCATTCATATTCATTTGAATTTATATATTTTTCTAAAAATGAACACACTTTAAACATATTATCATTTTATTTGTTTTCCATACATTAAAAGGAAGAAATTATTCTTCTGATTTTCGGAAATATATACTCCCAATTTCAAATATTGACTATGAACACACTTTATACACATTATCATTTTATTTGTTTTCCATACATTAAAAGGAGACATCTCCACATCCCTATTTGTTTGCTACACCTATATTGAGTCTACCCCTCCTTCATCATTCAATGGTCAATAGGACATTTTTTTCTTATGACATATTACACAATAAAATATAATACAATTAATATTATTTGAATATGTTGGATATATAAAATATATTTCATCGTTAAATATTTGTTCATGTGCAAAGATATTTTTCCTAATTTCAATGAATGGTTCACCTTCACTCAAGGGTTACCTCACCCAACATTTAAAATCATTATCTACACATAATCATGATAACTAAGATATATTAAACAAAACATCCAACAAGAAAATTTTAGTAAACAAAATCTTACAGAGTTCACCCAAAAATCCTTCCTTTGGAAAAATAAAAATAAAAATATTAGTTTAATTGACTAATGCCAATCACATAATGAGTATGCCCTACCAACTTGACATTAGCTAAACCATATCCATTTTTTTATAAGACCATGATATATATATATATATATATATAATAATTATATGGCCTTTATAAGTACATGTAGACACATATGAACGGCTCTATGAGCACAAACTTTCTTCCTCTCTAACCCACTCCAATTTTCGTGAAGAAACCTTCCAAAGACCGCTTCTTCTTCTTCTCATTCTTCGTCGTCGTCTTCTTTCTTATATTTGATTTTTTATCGTGCAAACATGAAAGAAAAGCAAATACAAGAAGTGAGTAGCTCTCTCGAATTCCTCACATATATTGGAGAAAACATTACGTATGGACATCTCATGTCTGGACGTCTGATCAGGGGAGGTCACAACAGCGCAAATTCAAGTGTGATGGTGTGACCTTCTGTGATTAGAATTTCGAGCATACGGAAGTCTATATGTAATATTTTCTTTATATACAAATTATTTTTGCTTCAGGAGATTCTGATATTATTCCATGTCAGATGAGAGAATAGATTGCCAAAATTAGAAGACATATAATCACAAACAAAAAATTTTTAGCATTTTTTTCAGTGTAATTTTAAGATATGTGTTTTGATCTGTTAAACTTATTGTTGCAGCTCATGCGGCCTTCAGTGCTTAACATAGCTCTTTCACAAGCTATGCATCCAACAAAAAACATTCTCTTTGTTGTAGAATTCAACTAGACCAATATTTCGCCGGAGTTTCCGTGCTCAAATGTCGCCGGAGAAAGCTTTTCAGAGCAAAATGGACACCCTTAAGTACAAGTAAGTCCAGACCAAAACAGTTTTCTAAGTATCTATCTTTCTATATGTATATTGACGCCTGTCAGAAGATTCATAACAATTGAGTAATGAAATATCATCTTAACGTTGCATGAAAACCCAACAAACACTCGAGTAATTAAATAGAAGTAAAGAGAAAGATGAAAAAAAATCACATGGCTAATTCACAAGGAATGATGAGCACACATATCAACTATTCTCCTTAATTAGAAAATATAGAGTTACAAAGTTGATTATTATAAATGCACAATAGCAGTTCATGTACAATAGTCATAATCAAATTGTAATGAATATAGTTTTTCGTGATAGCAAACTGTAAGGACCGTAGTTAATTACCATCAAGCCAGTAGTCTGCCTTAAATACTGTAGATTGTGACTGTAACGTCAACTTATCGTATAGACCGAACGATAAATTTGTTGATAACATATCATATCATATATTGTTATAAAATGAAGTAAGACCCCATGTATCTTAATTTATCATGATTGTTAAAGAGTGCTAGTCAGCACTTGGAATGTAGGTGGCTTGCAGCCTTCTGAGGACTTCGATTTGGAAGATTTGCTTCAAACAGAGAAGAGTTATTACGACATATATGTTCTCGGGTACTAAAATTTTCCTTAATTTAATTTCATTTTCTTCATTTAAACTCTTTTTTTAAAATTCCTTTTTTTAAAAAAAATATATTATTCATGGTATATATAGGTTTCAAGAGATTGTGCCACTTACAGCTAAAAATATTATGGGTCCAGAGAGGAGAAGCATTTCTGCCAGGTGGAACTCTGTGATTGGTTGGACTCTGAATAAGAATTACAGGGAAATAAAGGAGAGAAATAGTTCATTTAAGGAATATGAATGTATGATAAGCAAGCAGATGGTGGGGATAATGGTAACAGTGTGGGTGAGAGGAGAGCTTCTGCAGCACCTTCACCACCTCAGCGTCTCCTGCGTTGCCTGTGGCTTTCTTGGCTTCCTGGGAAATAAGGTATAATAAATAAATAAATATATAATATTTGTTTTTTTTTTAATAATTGGGAAATTTATACGCATGCCACACAGTTCTTATGTTTTTACATATTAACCCACAAAGATCGATGTTTACAGTTAAAAAGATGCATTTTTTATGTCATGCTAAGGATTTGTGTACAGCTAAAAGATGCATTTTCTTATTTTACACATCATACACTCACTTCTTATGTATTTACAAATGTAACATCTGAAATTCAATTATCACATATAGACCAGTTTCTCTATGCATAAAGACCTATTTCTTGGCATGATATGAAAGATTTGCGCGGTATAAATGTAAAAAATAAAGTTAAGGTATTAGATATGTAAATACATATGAGTTTGGTGGTGCACACATAAAATGCGTCAATATAAAATAGGAGTAAATAGCTGTCTCGAACTATGTTGAACAACCACCAATAGTCTTATTTTGTTAATCTAAATATTTTAATTAAGAGAGACTTAAGTCGGCGGTATAAATGTAAGAAATAAAGTTTAGGTATTAGATATGTACATACATATGAACCTGGTGGTGCACACATAAAATGCGTCAATATAAAATTGGACTAAATAGCTGTCTCAAACTATGTTGAACAACCACCACTAGTCTTAACAGCCACTTATTTTTTTAATCTAAATATTTTAATTAAGAGAGACTTAAGTCATTAATATAATGACCTTATCCCTTAAACTAGTTTTTATTATCCTTAACAGTAATTTATTGAACATGCTAATTAAAGTCAAGAGGAAGTACCTCTATTTATATATATATATATAAATATAAATATAATTCTGGATTGATTAATTAAAACAATTTAATTTTCAGGGAGCAATTGCTGTAAGATTCGTGCTGCATGGAGTTAGCATGTGCTTTGTATGTTGCCATTTAGCTTCAGGAGGGAAGGAAGGGGATGAGGTCCGCCGGAACTCCGACGCCATTGATATCCTCTCTCGGACTACCTTTCCTCATGTTTCTTCAATGAATTTGCCGCGAAATATTTTTGAACATGAGTGAGCAGCTTAATTTCAATTAATTCATTTTTCATTTATTACACTCTAAATTTTCAAAATAATAATAATAATAAAAGGGCTATTTACATACATACCCCTCAATTCTAGGTACTTACATATCTAAAAAGCGAACTTTACAATTTATATTTAAACCACTCTAAAAACTATATCAAGTCTGTAGTATTACTATATCAACCTCTAAAAGCAAAATACATATTTTTTTCTAGAGTAAAATGTCAAAATAGTCTCTGACTATTTGCATGGGATCGTTTTAGGATCCGTTTGGGACAACTTGTATGTTTCAGGATAAGCTGCTTATCCTGAAACGCGGCCCGCGGGCTGGCCGCAGGGGTCGACCCGCAACCTGCGTTTATTGTAAAAACTCAAATGCAGTTTCAGATAAGCTGACGAAATGCGCAAACCAAACGGTACGACGGTGTTTTGAAAACGCCGCACGCACTTATAAGCTGCCCCAAACGAACCCTCAGTCTTTGAGTTTATATAAGTGTCAAAACATTTTTTCAGACTTTAAATAAATGGGAGGTAGGAAGTAGTTGTTGTTGGACTATTTTTGAAATTATTGCAAATTGTATATTTGCTATACCACCATTGACAAATAGTTATTGGGTCAAATTTGTAAGTGTTTTGTACTACATGCAAAAAGCCCTAATTAGTTCAATACCCCTACCTATAAAATAATATTCCAAGTTATATTATATTATATATTCATCATGTTATTGTATCTTGATAAGCTCAAATTAAATACCAAAGCAATTATTTTCATTTGATTATAATAATTTTAATTCAATATAAGTGCCCATCAAAATAATTAATTAATTATTTAATTGGTTTATTTATTTTTTTGCAGCCAAATAATTTTACTTGGTGATTTGAATTATAGAATATCGTTACCAGAGACGGAGACAAAATTGCTTGTTGAGAGAAAGGAGTGGAACGTCTTGCTTAAGAAAGATCAAGTACTACTTAATTTGTTTAATTTTTTATTTACATAAATATCCAAGAATTTATATTTTGTATTATTAAGTTAATTTAATTAATTATTAATAATATTAATTAATTAATTTTTATTTATTTTTTTTTTTTTGAAATTGCTGAGATTAAAGCTGGCGTTGCGAGGTGGCAAAAGGAGGAGTATTCGAAGGTTGGAATGAAGGCAATATAAGCTTCCAACCAACTTACAAATATCTCCCCAACTCTGATAAATATTATTGTTGCATTGAGGGCAAGAAGAAGAAGAAGAGAGCACCCGCATGGTAAGTCCTCTTTTTATATCATAATATAATTTTCATTATTACGCTAAATATTAGAAAATATACAAAATATTTCATCATATATAAGATTTATTATTTATTTAAGGGCGATAAAGAAAATGAGTTAGGAGTAAAGTGTTTACATGGGGTCATTTTAGGGTTTGTTTGAGGCGGTTGTAGCTGTTTGAAGAAACAAGTGTGAAGCTGCTGTAGAAGAAACTGTTTTTCAAAAAACTACGGTGACTATTATATATTGATTTTATCTTCAAAAAATCAGATCGTAGTTTTTTTGCTAGCCATCACATTTTAACACCTCAGGTTGAAAAAAATAGTTTTATACCACTGAAATTTCCAAAAAACAATAAGAAAACAGTTACATAAACAGAACTGTCGTGACGGTTTGAAAAACAAAGCAGACAGAAAGTTGTCTCAAACAAACCCTTAACCATAGAGTTTATAGAAATGTCAAAATAATTATAGAGTACTTTAAAATTATGCTCTAAAGTCCTCCATGAGGATTATTTTAGCTTCAGATTAAAGAATATGTGAACTATTTTGACAATTCTATAAATTTTATGACTAAAATAGTCCCATATAAATGGTGATAGAATGTTTTGACCATTTGCTCTAAAGAAATTAATTGAAGATATTGACCATGTGGTTGTTCAATATTGATGTTTGAGAGAATATATATGTTCATCCAAAAGAATTGTGTGGTACTCATTTACATGCATGCCATCCAATTCTTATGTATTTATATATCTAACTCATTAATTTTATTTCTTACATTTAAGGTTTGTTTGGGGCAATTACAACTTATTGAATAATCCATTGATAAACTGATTAAAAATAATCTGTGATAAACTAGGAGCGGTGACTATTACAATTTTTTATTTTTTTGGAAAAGTCAGACCGTTGTCAATAAATTGCCACCACACCTAGATAGGTGCGGTGTGAAAACGTTGTTTTCTATGTTTTGAAAACCTATAAGCTGCCAAAACACAGTTTACCCAAACACGTCAAATGCGTTTTCAAAACGCCACAACACCAAATAGGCTGCCCCAAACGGGCCCTCAATCCAATCAAAGCTTTCATATCACATAAATTCGTGCATTATTAAGTTTGCAAATATAAAATTTGAAGTTCAAGTGTTAGATATATAAATATGTAGGAACTCGGGGGTATGCTTGTAAATATTTCAAAAGTTTTTTTAAGGGAAAAATTTAAAAAAAAAATCTGTAGCCATAAGAAATACAAATAAAATACAAGGTCTTCCAATGGCCACGTGTCTCCATTTTGTTGGGTAGTTGACTGGTAACTTTTGCAGTAATATTGTCGCGTTTTGCCGACGTTTCAATCATTGAACCTTTGTCGTTAAGTAAAGGAGCTGCATTTAGTGGTTGATTTTTATTACACGTGATAAAAAAAATATTTTTAATATTATTTTCTATATATTATATTCTAAAATTAAATATTAATTCTTTGACTTTTGATTTACTATTATTCTTTTATATTTAGGAGTAGGTCATAAATAACTTTAAATCATAAAATATTATTCTGTCAAGACTCCGAACGTAGAGAACTATTTGAAGTCCAATGAAATCAAGTCATGTGGTGGTGACAATAAAAAAAATAAAATGTCTGGTAACACAAAAAAATATTTCTCTCGTGTTTTTCAAGTGTTATTGTGTGTTATTCAAGTGTTATTAATGTATTATTTTATTATTATAATATCAGAAATATTCTCAGAACACAATAACACCTGAATAATATATAATAACATCTGAAGAATACGGAATAACATAAGGGAATATTCCCGCGTGACCGAGCCTATTTTTATTTTTTTTCTGTCACCGACACGTGAAGTGATTTCATTGGGCTCCAAATGGTTCTCTACGTTAGGAGTCCTGACAAAATATGAACTCTTAAATCATATAATAATAACATCTGAAGAATACAAAATACCACAAGAGAATATTTCAGCGTGACCGAGCCTATTTTTATTTTTTTTTTTGTCACCGACACGTGACGTAACTTTATTAGACTCCAAATGATTCTATACGTTAGGAGTCCTGACAAAATATGAACTCTTAAATCATATATATATAATAACGGCATGATTGGAAGAGATTTTTTTTTAGGGAGCATAAGAATGAAAAATAATTAGAAACATTTTATAAAATTTAATTTTCTCAATGTTTAATATAAAACCATCGTTTAAATAATCATATTCTATTTAATATCATTTTTAAAATCTTAATACTTCGAAAAAATAAATCAGTTATGTAATTATTAATAGTACTTCAATTAAAGGAAAAAAAAAATATTTTTTTATTTGCTTTTCCCAAAAACTGAGCAATATTAATGTACATGTAAAGGTGTGATAGAATTCTATGGTACGGGAAGGGTCTGAAGCAAAGCCAATACGAGAGATGTGAATTGAAACTCTCCGATCACCGGCCGGTGAGGGCAATCTTCGCCGTTGAAGTGGAGGTGGCGGCGCCGCCGGCGTGTTCAACCAATTTCAGCTCGCTGATCAGGAGCTTCTTCTCGTCAGACGAATTTGTTGTATTCGATGGCCGTTTTGAAGCTTAATTAAATCACTGTATTATGAGAAGAATAATATGTGAATGTCTGCGTGCGTGATTGAGGATAGAATTGTAAATTAAAATTGAGATATTTGTCCATGCATGCGACTCTAATGCAAAAGTCTATTTTCCCGGCATTAATTTATGCAGCTGTAACCAAATACAAACATTTCCTTAAGATAGTTTTGTTTTGCTCATCTGGACCTGGTTCTTACTGTATTATAAATTGAATTATGTGGTTAGGTATTAGTTTTATAAATATAAAAAATTTGAATATAAAATAAATGTTACTTTTCGTACCCATGTTGAAGCCAGCTGGGCCAGTGATACCACTGATCGCCGATCTTTTACAAGATATTGCGTCTTCATTGGTCCTAACCTTCTATCATGGAATGTGAAAAAGCAAACAACGACTGCTAGATCGTCAACTGAAGCTGAATATCGAGCCCTATCTTCTGCAGTCCAAGACGTTATATGGCTTTGAGGACTTCTCAATGATATTCAAAATTTCAATTCAGTTCCAACAGTAATTTATTGTGACAACCTATTTGCTATGGCCATCGCTCAAAACTCTATTTTCCATGCTCGCACGAAGCATATTGAGATTGGCTATCATTTCATTAGGAGTTGTATCCAGTCCAATGAAATTACACTTCAGTATGTATTATCAGATACACAGTTTGCTGATATACTTACCAAGACACTTCCAACTCAATATCACCATAAGATATTATTAGTTTGGGGAGTCATTAGTAAAACCTAGTAAAATCCTTAATCTGTATTACTTTAGGCTTAGCTTGCTATCACTATAAATAATCATATGTAGCAAACACCTGAATGTATGCAATATTTGTTGTTGTTGCGAGATCTAGATATACCAGTTGATGTGGTATATATATAAATCAAATTGGAGAACAATCAACGAAGCAAAAAAATAGAACGAAAAAAATTCACACCATAAAATAGTAACACCACAACAGAACACACAGATTTACGTGGTTCGGCAAATTACTTATGTCCACGGAGTTGCGGAGGAATTTACTACTTTAGGAATTTACACCAGCGATCACCTCGACTTACAAGAGGAATCTCTCACTCTTCGTTGCTCTCTCTCCCTTCTTCTCTCTCTGTTCTTCACCGAAGAAAACTCTACACTGAGATACACCGAAGAAGACAAACTTACAAGAGAAATAAACCCAATATCTCTTCTGTCACAAGCCACCAAAAAGAAGCCTAGGGAGAACAATCTTCTTCTTCTTCCTTCTTCTTCCTTCTACCGCAAGGAACTGCTCTCATTGCACTTCTCTTCCTCTACCTCGAGGAAACCTTCCTCTATTCCGAGGAAATCGAAGAAGAACTCAAAGCATGACTACTAAATCGAAGGAGAGCCATCCGAAGCTTTTTTCAAGAACAGGAGGGAGCGAAGAGATGCTTCACTTCAAAAAAGAGGAAGACAGGAGTGGTTATTTGTGAAGAGGTGTGACTCTCCAAAGCAAAGTAACCGCCCAAGCATAGTGGATCGGGCTCCACCATTTCTAACAATTCTCCCACTTGGAGACCGGTACACATGCTGCAACATCTCCTTCCTCAAATAGATATCCTCCAATGGCAGTGTCGCCTTTTTCTTCAACATGTATCCTCCACCTCTGCAACTCAAATCCTCTGTCTTCACTCCAGAAGACCAACTGAAGCTGTGCACAACTTTAGTTTCTCAAGAGTAACACCCTCAGTTAACGTATCAACAGACTCCACATAGCTTTGCACTTCCAAGCTATTTCCTGGGTCACTCTTGTCTGTTCTTACAACTCCCATTGCATGGTCAACATCTTGTCTCTGCTGAAAGTCTTTTTCAATAAGTCTATCCTTGTACCTTTACTGACATCACACTCAGTCTTCACCGGGTACACCAACATGTTGTGCAATGCCTTCTTCCCTGGTGAAAGTTCTGCTAGCTCCCACTTGCTCGAACTTTCATTTTGTAAAATTTCTTTATAGCTTTGTGGTTCTTCAACATCTGTCTGTGGAACAATATGAATGGGTGCCCCGAACCCACTTTCCTCTTCACTTCCATCACTGTCATGCATTGTGACCTCTGGTAGATTTTCTATCACATTTAAAGCCCTTGAATCCAATATCAAGTCTTCAACAGAACTATGAACTACCAACAATAGTGCATCCTGTGATTCTTCAGATACTATATTTACGCTATTATTCTCCATATTCTTAGGATTCCTGCAGTTCTTCTTTATGTGACCAGTCTTGCCACAATTCCAAAAGGTTGTCTGCTTACTAAACTTTGATTTTGATCTCCCTATACTTGATTTCCTGTCATGCTACCTCCCTCTGAAATCAACATTCAGTGGCGAACTGAACCTGAGACCTCGCCAGAATCTTTCCTGCGAACTTCCTTAGCCAAAATTAAATCACGAATATCATCGTATTTCAGTTTAGATTTACCTGCAGAACTGCTAACTGTTATTCTCATGGCTTCCCAACTATCTTCCGCCATCTTCATATTGAATAACCTCTTCATTAAGTGCACCTTGTTATTCGTCAATGACTTTTCATACATACCTGATAAGGCTGCCATGAGATCCGCAGTCGTCCTTTCCTTGATGACGATGTGTGCAACAGACATCGATAGGGTCAATCGAATAACCCCCAGAACTCGTCGATCCAACAAATTCCATTCATCCTCTTCCATCCTTTCAGGTCTTTTCCCCAATAACTGAAGATGAAGTTTCTTCCCATAAAGATAATCCTTTATCTGCATTCCCCAATAACCAAAATACGTGCCATCAAACTTCTTGATCTCTGAAACCTTCACTTCCTCTACAGCCATCATTCTTCCTCAGATCTGAAACTACGCTCTGATACCTGTTGTTGTTGTTGTGAGACCTAGATATACCAGTTGATGTTGTATATATATAAATCAAGCAGGAGAACGATCGACGAAGCAAAAAAATAGAAAGAGAAAAATTCACACCATAAAACAGTAAGACCACAACGGAACACACAGATTTACGTGGTTCGACAAATTGCTTAAGTCCACGAAGTTGCAGAGGATTTTACTACTTGAGGAACTTACACTAGTCGATCACCTCGACTTACAAGAGGAATCTCTCACTCTTCGTTGCTCTCTCTCTTCTTCTCTTTCTGTTCTTCTCTCTCTATACCGAGATACACCGAAAAAAACTCTACACCGAGATACACTCAAGAAGACAAACTTACAAGAGAAATAAACCCAATTTCTCTTCTGCCACAAGGCACAAAAAAAATGTCTAGGGAGAACAATCTTCTTCTTCTTCCTTCTTCTTCCTTCTGCCGCAAGGAACTGCTCCTCCTTGCACTTCTCTTCCTCTGCCCCGAGGAAACCTTCCTCTATCTCGAGGAAACTGAAGAACTCAAAGCGTGACTACTAAACCAAAGGAGAGCCATCCGAAGCTTTTAACACGAACATGAGGGAGCGACGAGATCTTTTACTTCACAATAGAGGAAGACGAGAGTGATTATTTATGAAGAGGTGTGACTCTCCAAAGCAAATTAATCGCCCAAGCATAGTGGACCGGGCTTCACCGTTTCTAACAATATTTTTTTTCTCTGTTAAGTGCAAACGTGACTGTTTCCCCCTCTTTTTCCCTTTCATTCAAACTTAACATATTAATTGAGAATTTAGGTTATCAAAGAGACATTCAATCCAATATATGTACACACACACACACACACACACACACACACACACACACACACACACACACACACACACACACACACACAGATTCAATGTCTTATACATATATGATGTGTGTGCATTTGTAATTAAATTCTATAAAAAAAACTGTTTAAGAAGATAGTTTTCTTAAATGGAGCTATAAGTCGCCCCTACTAACAAAGAAAAATTTGCATACGTAAGAAGTACACAACGCTGCATACGTCCGGTAGGTTACAATGAAGTATTGGGGCTTATATCTGTGTTATACCCCCTGTAATCTCCCTGTAAACTACCTGTAACTAGTAAGTTCTGCGCTTCTGTTTTCATATATTTATAAGTTACGGGTATGTTACAGTGAAGTTACAGGAGGTATTATAACGCCGATATAACCCCAATTACTCTTCCTGTAACCTACCTGATGTATGCAACGCTGCATACATCTTACGTACACAAATTTTTCTCCTACTAACAACCTGTCAATGACTACATAGAGAAGCATAACTTTATTTTAAAAACTATCATATTTAAAAATCTAGTATATGCAAGGATACTTAATTAAGAAAAATATTGACTCAGAGTATTTTGCATAATTTTTTGATCAAGGTATATGATTTTAATGGCAATAAATTGGCTTTGATAATAAACTAATTATATTATATTTTTATTAATTGAATTCAATAATTTTAATTAACGGCCCTAATCAAAATTTGATCAAATTATCATTATCTTCAACTTTCCAAATAAATTAAGGAGACTGAACCACTCCTTGCAATTAAGGTGCATTTGTTTGTTATCTTTCACGTAAAACTATATATATATATTCTTAGCTCATACACGTGTCGGACACATCATTGATGTATCAATTTAATCATTATTAAAATAAAAAAGAAACATGTGTGTTGAACACGTTTTAAATTAGTGAATTAAAAATTTTTTAAAAATACTTTTCAATTATATATGATGTGAATTTTAGTTTGACTTTCAGAAATACACTTCTAAATACATGTCTCGAGAGTTGAAGCTAAAACATAAAAAATTATTGCATACGGATACTGCATAGAGAGATGCATGCGGTGTCTGATCTACACCGTAAATCATGATTTATGGTGAGGATGCAATCAATCTTATTGTAAATAAAAAAATTAAAAAAATTAAAAAAATTAAAACGGGGTCCACCGAAATATATCG